GGCGGGGAGAGCAGGACGGAAGGTAGAAGCTCCCGGCCGCCCCCCCATCGCATCTTCAGCCGAACAAGCAGGGAGGGGGAGCAGAACAGGAGGCAGCGGCTCCAGTGGCGGCGGCCCCATTGCGTCCTCAGCCAAACGGGCAGGACGGCGGGAGCGCTGGCTGAGGAGGCGGAGGAAGCGGCCGCCGCTGCTGCTGCTGTCGGGCATCCCTCAGGGCGCGTCTCCCTCGCCTCGGCTGAGGCGAGGGGGGGGGAAGCAGCCTGGAAGTGGCCGCAGGGCAGGACGGTGGGAGCACTGGCTAAGGAGGCGGAGGAAGCGGCCGCCACTGCTGCTGCTGCCGGGCATCCCTCAGGGTGCGTCTCCCTCGCCTCGGCTGAGGCGAGGGGGGGGGAAGCAGCCTGGAAGTGGCCACAGGGCAGGATGGCGGGAGCGCTGGCTAAGGAGGCGGAGGAAGCGGCCGCCGCTGCTGCTGCTGTCGGGCATCCCTCAGGGCGCGTCTCCCTCGCCTCGGCTGAGGCGAGGGGGGGGGAAGCAGCCTGGAAGTGGCCGCAGGGCAGGACGGCGGGAGCACTGGCTAAGGAGGTGGAGGAAGCGGCCGCCGCCGCCGCTGCTGTCGGGCATCCCTCAGGGCGCGTCTCCCTTGCCTCATCCGTCCGTCCGTCCCTCTTCTCCGCCTCGCGCGCATGGCTGCATCGGTGAGTTGAGGCAGCGGTTCTTTAGCCGGGAAAGCCGGTGAGGCGACGGAAGAATGCCTCGTGGGCGGGCGGGCGCAGGCGCCCTGGGGTTTCTGAGCGGGAGGAGCAGGTCTCTCGGCCTCGGTGCGCGGCCATTTTATCTGCCGTCGAGACGGTCAACAACGGCCTTGCGAGAGCGGTTCTTTAGCCGGGAAAGCCGGCGAGGCGACGGAAGAATGCCTCGCGGGCGGGCGCGTCGCGGCTGCGGCTCCCGGCGGGCGGCCAGACCCTCCGCTCAAGCGGCAGCGGCACGAGGACGTGACCCCTGAGGAGCGGCCTGAGCCCCCGGGCGGCGGCGGCACCGTGGCCAGCCGCCAGCTCCGCGCGCTGGTCAAGAAAAGTAAGCCGCCTCTGGTGGGTCGAAGGACCTAGAGATGAGCCCTCCAGTCTCCTGAAAACTTTGGAGGG